TTTTTCAGTCAGAACCTTTTTTGAGGGTTCTGTCTTTTACCCGATAGCAGAACCCATAAAAAGGTTCTGCAAAACTCCTTTTTTATTTTCAGAGTATCCTAAGTTAAAATAAGGATGACCTCCTGCTTACTCTCCCTTCCTTATATCACCTCGTAGATATAACAAATATGATTTATTTTTCTAAATTTATGCATAGCTTATAATATTAAATAATACTTACTATTGAATATCTAGTTAAAATAAATCTAAAAATACCGGACTTTGTATCATAAATTAAGGAGTTTGAGCATTTTTGGGTCAGACAAGAGTAAAGATCTTTACTCTTACTATCCTTCTGAAGATATCAGCTTGTTGTTTGAAATAGTGAAGTAGTTTCTTAGATTATATTTAAATTTGAAGTTGATTGTTAAATGAAGTCATAAGAGTTTTGCATAATAAAATGCATAAAAGCAATATTCAGTAAAAAAAAATCCTTAGCAACAATCGGATAAAAAGTCAATGGCGTAACGGTTAAATCACGTTACAAAACGTTTCAGCTATATTGGAAATGTCGTTGTGTCAAGCGTTTTCTGGTGTGACGACGAGCCTTTTGATTTAATTGAAACGTAGCACTGGGGTTCGACAAGCGAGACCATACAGAAGATGTTTGTCCTAAAAATCAAATTAAAGAATATTTAATTTCCGGAGAAACTATGAACCAGGAAACTGAGGATATTCCAGTGTGTCCACTCATCTCCCACAGCATTTCTTGTGTATTTAAGTTTGGGTATTGTCTGTCCAGGCGTTCTAAAAACACTGCTTCGACCAAGAGACATAAATATATGTAACTAAAATATTTAATTCGTAATCACTTACAGCTTTACAGAAATGACTATCATCGTTCCATCATTAATAATATTTCGTCTACGTTCAAAATTTGTTAATTTTTCCTTGAAAAACGCCTAGCTGTTTTGCCTTAAAATGTCCTTACAAACACTACAGAGCACGGAAGGTGGTGAATGTAGACATGTGCAATTGGGTCAAGAAGAACCTACACCACAACTACACTCTCTAAAAGAATTTCTCTATGTCCGATGAGGCATTAAATGAGATCAGAACATTCGTGTTAAAGCAGGATTATACTCATGGAAACAGCTTTCTTAAGCTAAAGCAGATTGTTTTAAAATATTTTCAGCATCAAAACTCAACTTAAGAATTTAAGAAACTTGTTCACTCCTTTGCGATGCTTCTCAGGGTTGCAATGTACGAAATATGAAATTTAGCCGGCGGAGAAAACTAAATTTTATTCATTAACTTTTCTGTCTACACTTACCTGGTTCGGTATCTGTCTCGTTCATTGGCTGCTCATTTTGCTTCTGAACAATGCGTTTCATCTCACCTTTTTGCCGCTGGTTTTCATCTTGGAGTTTGCTGAGCCGAATTTTCTGATGTTTTACCTGTTGCTTCAACTTCTGTATGCCGCCTCGATACTCAGCAATATCAGCCTTGTAATGCATTTCGTTTTCTGTTAGTTGTTGAATTTCATTCCGGCTTTGCATATGTTCATCTTTCATTTGTTCTTTAAGACTTTTTACTTCAGTCTGATGTTCATCATTTTTAGCATATTCATGTTTCAATTGTTCTTTAAGTTGCATAATATCATTATGATAACCTTCTGCTGCAGCTATTTGTTGTTTTAGTTTTTCTTTGAGAGAACAAATTTGTTTGTGATCCGCATCTCTTTGACTGATCTGGCGCTTTAACTGTTCTTTAAGATCTCGAGCCTCCTGTTCGTTTCTCTCAACTTGAGCTACTAATTTCTTATTTCCCTCGTGAAGTTCACGAATCTTGTTATGGTGGTAGTGACTTTGATTTTGTTCTCGTTTCAATTGTTCTTCGAATTGTCGAAGTTTATTCACATGTTGGTCAATTTGAGCTTTATGCTGTATATTTTGTTCTGTGAAATGCCGATTGCTGTTCTGATTAAGAATTTTATTCTGTTCTCTTTCGTTTTTCAGCTGCTGAACCTCGTCTTTAAATTTCTTTATTGCAGCTATTTGTTGTGATACTTGTTCTTTGAGTTGTTTACGTTCAGCCATAAGTGAAACGAGTTTCGGTCGCAAATTGTGATAGCTACAATTGGCCAAATGGTTGTCAAGCTGTCCACGTACTCCTGTCCATGGACACATGATATCCGCTGCCGAGCAAATTGCAGGACATGCAGCGGTAACATGACGTTCAAAATCACTTCGCTCCAAGTCTATTTGTCCACAAGTCATACATTTCACGCGAAGCTTGCCTAACATATTACGTACAATGCGACTAGCTTGCGCGAGTTCACGAATTTGAAGAGATCCCCGACATGTGGGACATGAAGTATTATTTCTTTGAACCCACTCTGTTATGCAGCTTTTACAAAATATATGATCACATGGCGTGCATCGTGGATCCTCGAGTGGTTTATTACAAATGATGCATATTAGCTCACTGTCGATGGAACCTTCATTCATATACTCGTAATGAAGGCTAGTTGACATTATCTAGCAATAAATAAAACGAGTGACGAAAAGTCTTTTGATAAGTCTCAAGTATAGCATCATTAAAGGCATCCGCAAATAGATGCTTAATTACATAAAAATATTTTTTTACCAGTGCAAAACTGGTTGAGTATGTATAAAAGGGCGAGGTGTGAATGTAGATGATGAGACCACTTACACCCCTATCGTATTGAAAAGGCGAAAGCCTAACATCATTTTCGAATGCCCACATCATTTTTTTTTATTTACTTGGCTTTAACGTATCCCAGAATACCGTTAGGTGACCTTTTGCACTGAAAATCTGAGCGAGAGATTGTAAAAAAGCATGATACAGTAGTTTTTAGAGATGATCTGCGGCCATGCAATCGATAACGATGTTTTCCCTACTCTCATAACAGCAATATGCGAGTGCGCGCTAGAAAACGCGTCACTTCATTAAAAACCACTTTTGAATAGAATAGCGAATGGACATAAATTATTATGTGAGTAAGATTTCCTTATATGAACACCGTTAAATGAGTCATCAACCAGAAGACGGTACGTTGAAACGTGTAAGTTAAAAGGATAATCAGCCATTTCTGCTCATTGCCTAAGAAAAAATTTCCGCGATGGCTCAGTAGAAAGCATTTTTAGATATTTCAATTGGCACTCTTTTGAAATAAAAGCTTTTTCAAATGGCAGCGGCAGTGTTTCCAACATCTGTAGCAATCTTTCTGGAAATTATTTTATACGATTTCAATACGAAAAACTCCGACAGTGTTCGAGATGAAAGTCATCCTATTGACTTTTATTCTGGGGAAGAGTCTTACCCTAGTAACGACAGTCTATTATCTTCATGAAAATCCATACTCACTTTTTTTTAATGTCCAACCAGAATTTTGGGTATACAACGCTGCAAAATAAAAGTTGAATATTTTTTTTTTCTCTTACACTTGTGCTTGTTATCAGCGTTATCTTCAACTGACGAACATGATATGCAAGCAGTCATGTATTTTATTTGCTCTATTCGCTTTTACAATCGTGAGCATCATGCAACAAATGTCGAATAGGTTTCTACGAAAGAAAGCATAAAGTGACCTTGTGGTACAGCTTTACACTTAAGTCATGTTGAGCAGTTCAGAATGCCGGCAAGTCTTATTGGTCTCGTCCCATAGTACAGCCGTGATTGTCTTGAAAG